CACCACAGCTCTGTAGACACACTGACATCCACCACAGCTCTGTAGACACTGCTGACATCCACCACAGCTCTGTAGACATGCTGACAGTTTTGAGGTGGTCTTGTTCAGGGAACTCCCAGCCCACAGGAGTGAGGCTTTCATCCGGGTAGTGTAAGGTCTGAGCCCTTCACTGTGATTCTGCCTCAGGAAGAAAATGTACATGTGTTTAAGTGGCTTCCCCAGTTTCAGCTCCCCTCCCCCCCCCCAGTAAAATCAGTTGTCTCTTATCCACGAGCATCTTGCACAGACCCCCAGGTAGCTTCATTCAGGACTGCCTGCTCCTCACCCCCCAGGCACCACAATGTCAGATGTTGGCTCTGGGGGATCCCTGGACCTCCAGGCACTAGAAGGACAACTCTTACAATTCTGCCACTTCTGAGCATCTTGATGTGGACACAGGGCTCAGAGATGGGCTCAGAGATCTCAGACCTGGGCCTGAATCCACCCTACCCTGCTCAGTGGCTGGCAAGAGCCCTCACCTCTCTTAGCTCCGAGACCGCTTCTTCCTACTTCCTTTTGCTGGCTTATTTGGGAAGTGCCCTCGGCCATGTTGGCCTCAGTGGAACTTAGATATGAGATCCACTGCCTCAGACTGGGCGAAGCTCCCAACATTTGAAAATGACTTTGTGCAAGATCTCATTGTGTGCTGCCTTCCCTAACCATAATAGCAGGTCTTCAGTGTGCTGTGAAAACTTTTATGAGAGGTATGAAAGTAACTCCCGATTCCTGGGGAGGGTTGATAGAAACAGTTCCATGCTGAGGTGTTTAGGTGGCTTCTCTGAGCTGAGATGGGGAGTTTAAACCTGTTCCGGGCCTGGCGGCTGGATTCAGCTTGGCACCTTCTTTTCTTGGGAAGCATTTGGGCCATCAGAACTGTCCTTGAAGGTGATACTGACTTCCTCTGCATCTACTGGAAGCAGAGGCTCATGTGCAGTGGAGGCCTGGCTGCTCAGCCCGGTGCTCCTGACAGGGCTCCTTGGCATCCTGCCTGATTGCTGAGAGTCTGCACCTGGCGCGCCCCTGGCACGTCATCCCACGGCACACTGTCTAAAGCCTTTTCTCCTCCCCACAGCCAGCATGCCCACCAGTGAGACTGAATCTGTGAACACAGAGAACGTAAGTGGTGAAGGCGAGGCCCGGGGATGCTGTGGAAGTCTCTGGTGAGTGTGGAGGCTGCGTGTCCTCCTTACCCCCACAGTGTAGAGATGCTAAGGCTGGGAAGATACCCCAGAGGGCAGCGGAGTCTTAGGGCTCTGGTCAGAGAGTAGCGGAGCTCTAACAGGCTGCCTCCGTCCCTTTGGTACCCCTCCTCCCGTACCAGGCCTGTTGGGGCATCCCAGCATCCCACACGCCTCTGCCTGTGAAGTTCTCCTGCTGAGGCAGAGCCTGGGGAGTGTGCTGCTTAACCCAGCCACCTGCTGTGTTCATTAGGTGCTGGTGGAAGAGAAGAGGAGCGGCCAAGACTGGGCCCTCTGGGTTTCGGCGGTGGGGGTAAAGGCCCAATTCTCCTTCCAGTTGGGTTTGGCATCTGTGCTTTGAAGGAAGAGCTTGAATGGCGGAGTTGCTGATTAGAATGTGCCACATACTCAAACTTGCCTTCACCGGGGCCTTCCAGCCTCATCCCCAGCCGCTGGATCGGGAGGCCCCCTCCTCTGTTCATGGTCCCTTGTTCTGGAGCCATGCCTGCACTACCCTTTCCTAACCATGGGGGGCACCATCCCATTAAGGCTTCTGGGCTTTCTCTAGATGACTGGGCCGCAGTAGCAGGGGTGGGGGGGTGGGGGGCAGAGTGGGCGGGCAGGAATGCAGAATGTGCTAAGAACCGCCTGCTTTGGGGAGCCCTGTGCTGTTGTGACTTTGTTTGCTTCCTGCTTGTTTTCATCTTAGTCCTGTAAAGCACACAGGTGTCATTTTTAAGAGAACTCTACCTGATTTGGGGCAGAGTTTTATATAAAAAATAAAAAATGACACACTATGTGATAGTACTGCAGTGGCTCATGGAGTGATTTCGCCTCTGCTCTCTTCCCACTCTGCCCTCCCTATGTCATGAAGTAGGCTGGGAATGGATTTGCCACCCCCATTTTACAGATGGGAACACTGAGCTTCTGGGGCATGCTGTGTCCCCAACCTCACCCATTCAGTGATCAGGAGAGCCGCGATTCTGTTCCGACAGGAGCAGCGGTTGCTACTGTTGGGATGGGGTTTGCAGGCCACAGCAGCCCTCCTGGCTTCCACTGGGGTGGCAGGAGAAGGCCCCCACATCTGTGCCGTTTCCAGGGCCACTCTGGAAGGAAACCTGAGAGTCTTCTCTTGCCTGGGCTCTCAAGGGTGCTCCGCCCACCTCCTGGCACACTGGTAGCACTTTGACATCTGCTCTGCCTTTACGCCAGCTGGCCGGCTGTAGGCACGGGGACCAGAGTCCTGGCTTCTGTGCATGGCTTGAGCCATCTCTGCTTCAGTGATGGGAGCTTAAGTCAGGCCTTCCAAATGGGAGTCTTAACGTTGTTCTCTTCTTCCCTTTCAGTCAGGCTATCTCGAAATCCAAACTCAGGTCAGTATCTTCTGTTCCTGTTCATTTTCATTCTCCCCCCCCCCCCGAGAGCTTGTGTTGGGGTTTTGATGTTATGTTTTAAAATCTGAATTTCACATAGAATTGGTGTAGACTTGAGTTTAAGCATGGATCCCAGATTTCAGTCAGTCTAAGTATCCTAATCCTGCCTTAGGGAAGCATCGGTGCCTTCAAACCATAGCACAGCAACACACGAGGTACATTTTGCCTCCTTATCAACCCTCCAGTCTCTTCTTATAAACATTTTCCATAAAAGAAGGTTCAAGAAGACTTCTAAGGCACCTCGTAGTATCCAGTTCCTTGATCTGGATGCGGACTACATGTTCCCTTTGTAAGTCTCGTGGAGCCATATGCCTGCGTCTTGTGTCCGTCCCTGTTAAAGACATTTCCCTGGTGCACACAAACAGTAAAACTAAATACAACACCTCAACCTGCAGAAACTCTAGGAGAAAACAGGAGGAAAAGCATTGGGTTAGGCGAAGATTTCTTCATATTCATTGCCCAATACATAATCCATATTAGAAAAAAATTGATAGATTGTTCCCCATCAGAATTAAAACTTCTAACTTTGTTTTATTATAAAGTAAAAAGATAAGCCACAGACCTGATGAAAATATTTGCGGACCATATTTGATAAAAGACTAGTATCTAATATAGAGAGAATAATATATAAAGACAGTATCATTGACAAAAGAACCCTATAAAATTGGAAAGAAGTTTCCAGCAGGCAGGTCACAAAGAGGAGAAATGCGTGATATCTACACACATGAACATGGTTTACTTAGAAAATGCGAGTTAAAACCATAATTTGGTAACTACTGCACACTGATACAAGCAGGTCACAGTCAAGTATCTGTCTGATGACGCCAAGTTCTGACAAGGACGCTGACGGGCATTTTTGTGGAGTGCTGGCTGGCATGTTAAATAACATAATTATTTTGAAAAAACACTCACTAGTTCCTTACAACGTTACATTAACGATGTGGCCCAGCAATTCCAATTCTGAGGTATTTATGTAAGAGAAAGACATACGTAAGAATTATATGTGTTTATAGTGGCTTTGTTCATAATTACTTTAAACTAGAAATAACCCAGCGTCCATCAGTTGGTAAAATGAGCAGATCTATTTATCCATGCAGTAGAATACTTCTCAGTGACAGGAGGAAGGGGAAATGCTGAGAGGGCCACTGAGATGTCTTAGTGGGGAGGGGGTTTGCTGTGCAAGCCAGGTGACCCGGGTTCTAGAACATACGTAAAGGTGGAGGAGAACCAACTCAACAGACTTGTCCCCGACCACCACACACAGGGCGCAGCACCGTTACCCGGTTACCACACAGCACATCTCATGTGCACACACAATACCATTTGTTTTTTTTTTAATTACTGATAATGAAGCAATACTGATGAATCTCAAAAGCATTTGGGTGAGGAAAAAAAGCCTCAAAAGGATACCGATCGTGATTCTGGTTTTCTGGCAGTCTAGTTGAAACACAGCAATGGGCATTAGAAGACAGATCGGTAGTGTTGATCTGGAGATGAGGGCCATAAACAGACTCAGATGAGTGATGGAAGTGTTCTACACTTCTGACCGAGTGTAGGCCTAAAAAGAATAAACTTGCTGCATGTAAATTCTATCTCAACCTGACCTGAAGTAAAATTTAAGAGTTGTTCTGTGGGTCTCTGTTACCAAAGACCACAGAAATGCTCCCTAGTTTGGCACCTGCCTTTCATCTTCTGCCTCAGCTTTTGATATCCCTCCCCAAATCCTCCTCGACTCTGTAGCCATCCCAGACTGTCCTGTTTCCATAGGTGTCTTGCCTTGGTGACTTCGCCTCCAGGGTCCTTGGCCTGATGTCTCCTCTAGGGAGACTTCCACCTACCTCTGGGAAGTCCTCAGTCATTAAGGTGCAGCCCAGCTCTTTGCTTTGCAGACAAGCCTTCTCTGGCTCTTCCGAAGAGGCTCCCTTCTCCCTGTTCCCACACCTTAAATCTGGGGCTCGACTTGTGTGAATTTGCAGCTGTCATTTACCCATAACCCTTTGTGCCTGCTAAGGCCCCCAACCCTGGAAAAGTGTCTTTTCTATCTCCACTTACCCATAACCCTTTGTGCCTGCTAAGGCCCCCAACCCTGGAAAAGTGTCTTTTGTATCTCCACTTGCTAGCACCAGGCCCCTGTGTAGGAGATCAGTGTCCAGGAAGGCAGCCTTCCGACCACCCACGCCCAGGGGAGGGAAACTAGCAGTGCTACATGTTTCCAGCGAGTATGACACCGAGGTCTTCTAGATGTTGTGGGTCACTTTTCCCTTGTCACTACTCTGCAAGGTAGACCCACCAAGCATAGCCTTTGGGGACTACCTTGTGTCCCAGGAGAGCCCAGCTGTGAGCCGTTAGAGTCCTCAGGAGAGTAGTCTGTGCTGCTCATCATGTGTCTAGATGCCGTTTGTCCCGTCGGAAACTGCAGGGTAAAGCCCAGCTTGCCGGGTCTGTGTGAAGCCGCCCATTGCTCATCTGTTGCTGGCTTCCTGGCTTGCATGGGTTTAGCATAGCAACACAGCTGAGTGACATTGCAGCAGCCTTGATTTTCCTCCTGAGTCGTACCTCCGAGGAAATGCCCCCCCCCTTTTTTTCTGAGACAGGGTTTCTCTGTGTCGCTTTGGAGCCTGTCCTGGATTTCACTCTGTAGCCCAGGCTGGCCTGGAACTCACAGAGATCTGCCTGGCTCTGCATCCCGAGTGCTGGGATTAAAGGCGTGCACCACCACTGCCACCCGGAGAGGAAATGCCCTCTTGACAGACACTGAGACAGCATGGCCGGAAGAGAAGGGACTTGGCAACCCAGCTGGTTCTCCCCTGGGTTCCAGGTTGCTGAAGAGCAAGCAGTCTGTGGTGCCTAACAGTCCACTTACGGCAAGGAGATGGGGAGTTTTCCAAAAAGGAGACAGGCAAAGGGAAAAATGACTTTCCCTAATCACAAACGAGACGGAAGGTGGGTGGGGACATGTCACGTGTCTGTTTGGTTCTGCTCATTTTATTTTTATGAAAACACGATTCAATATTGGATCTTCTCCTGAAGGTATATTTTGAGCATTACTAGTTAGAAAGGGCACCCGATGACTCAGCCAGAAGACACATGTCCCACTCAGCTTTGACACCTACGAGGCACCAGAGGAACGGCAGAGATTTGAGAAAGGATTAAAAGCTTCCCTAAAAAGAGAGTTGTGGTCATGGATTGCTTTCTGCCTAATAACTTCTGTATAGTGATAAGCTGCCACACAAGCTTGTACATATAATAAGCCGAGTAGTTCTGCCCCTCTGCCCCCAACAGATCATGCGCTGTATGGCACCCCCAAGATCTTTGTGTGTGTACTGGTGCAGTCTTGAATCTGCACTTGAGTCTATAGATGTCTGGATTCTCTAACCCACTTGCAGGCTGCATATGTCAGATCAGATCCTGGAGTTATTTATAGCCAGCAGGGAAAGTGATAACACAATTCATTCAAGATTATACTGTTGAAAGCTGCATGTTAAGACTAACGGTTTTTATCATGGGGTCTGTTCGCATCTGTGCTGGTGGTTCACATCTTTCCTTCCTAAGCCACCTGATGTGAACTTTGATTGCTCAGTAAAGTTTATTGGCCTCCGAGATGCCGTATGTGCCCATGGTCTAGAGAGCAATGTTTGCTTGTTTTTTCAGCCGACGCTGGCGTCGCTGGAACCGATTCAATCGCAGGAGATGCAGGGCTGCCGTGAAATCCGTCACGTTTTACTGGCTGGTCATTGTCCTGGTGTTTCTCAACACTTTAACTATTTCCTCTGAGCACTACAATCAGCCAGACTGGCTGACACAGATTCAAGGTAGGGCTGGAAGGTATTCTTTTGTTCTGAATCAGAGATGCTTACAGCGAACACGTGTTCAGTCTTATCTGAAGTGTCATGGGGTAGGTAGTAGAACATCCAGTTAGAACGAAGGCGGCAGTAGAACCGTCCAGACTCAGTGGCCCTGGAACAGACATCCTGTACTGCCTCCATACACTATCCATGTCAGCTAACTTATGCCCCAGCCTTGAGATAGCCCAGCACCCAGGAATTCTGGAGTTGATATGTCCGTCTCCCTGCCACATTGGAAGCTTTATCCCCACTTTAGTATTTTTTGGTAAGTGATTTTGATTCCACTGCTTTGGATGGCTAGAATTGGGATGTGTAGAGATCATCCCTGGAAGAGCCCATTCCAGACTGGAGGGTTTTGAACTCTTGACTTGTCTTTCTGTATTTTGGCTTCTGCTCCCCTCAGCCTACTTGGCATTATTTCTTGCTACTAAAAACATTTCTTTGGCCCTTTGGAGCTGGCTCAGCAGGTGAAGTACCTGCTGTGTGAGCGTGACGGCCTGAGTTCAGACCCCAGAGCTCGCGTATAGACAGCTAGTCACTGCAGTGGATGCCTGTGACCCCAGCTCTATGGGATGGACAGAGACAAGAGGGTCACCGGCACTAGCTGGGTTCCGTGAGAGGCCCTGCTTCAAGGGAATAAGGCAGAGAGTGATCGAGCGGAACATGCAACATCTTCATTTGACCCCTGCGTATGCTCAACCACACACATGTGCTGATAACCTCCCCCTCTCTCTTCCCCATACACAGAGAGAAAATAAATAAGAAATAATAATTGACACTAGGATGCCACAAGTGGTCATTCACCAATGTCATATTTTATTATTTATTTATTTATTTATTTATTTATTTATTTATTTATTTTCTCTCGGTATGGGGAAAGTGTGTGTATGTGGGAAGGGGATGGGGGTGTTGAAGAAAAAAAAACTATAATGTGATCTCAGTGCACAATCTTAAAGAGTTTAGTGTTGACAGGCTACCAGAATTCCTGTGGTAAAGGTCTCTACCATTTCATAGAAACCGAGTGACCTCTCCAGACTCACTTGTGGGTGGTGGCCAGCAGCAATAAGGATGGTGCCTGTCCCCGGTGCAGCAGTGAGGCTGGGACAAGGCTTTGCCATGTCTGCCGTGGTCACCGATGGGAGGGAGGAGGGATGAAGAGCACGCCTGCCCTTTGTCTTCCCAGATACTGCAAACAAAGTCCTGTTGGCGCTGTTCACCTGTGAGATGCTGGTGAAGATGTACAGCTTGGGCCTCCAGGCGTACTTCGTCTCTCTCTTCAACCGCTTTGACTGCTTTGTGGTGTGTGGGGGGATCACCGAGACCATTCTGGTGGAGCTGGAGCTCATGTCCCCTCTGGGGGTCTCCGTGTTCCGGTGTGTGCGCCTCCTGAGGATCTTCAAAGTGACCAGGTAAAGATGTGGGTACCCTCCCTGAGCGGGGGACACTCTTCCTCTCCCGTGGTCTCTGGGTTCACCCCCCTCCCCTTGACCTGTAGGCACTGGACCTCCCTGAGTGGGGGACACTCTCTTCCTCTCCCGTGGTCTCTGGGTTCACTCCCCTCCCCTTGACCTGCAGGCACTGGACCTCCCTGAGCAACCTTGTGGCATCCTTGTTGAACTCCATGAAGTCCATTGCTTCGCTGCTGTTGCTGCTCTTCCTCTTCATCATTATCTTCTCCTTGCTGGGCATGCAGCTGTTTGGTGGGAAGTTTAATTTCGACGAAACCCAAACCAAGCGAAGCACCTTCGACAACTTCCCCCAAGCGCTCCTGACTGTGTTCCAGGTGAGTTCCCGCCTCCCCCATCCCAGAAGCACTTGTTGTGAGCGGAAGCCAGAGAGCTAGAACCCGTGCCTTCTTGGGTCTACCCACAGCTCAAGATGCTGTTTTATCAATCGTTTCTGCCCCACAGTCCTCTGGGGCAGAATTTAATGTCACGTAACTTATTCTACAGTATCTTCCAGCTCCCTGTGTGATAGGACAAACCCAGACAATCTTTGTTTGATTTTGTGAGATTTCTGTGAAATAGACTCTAAAGTCCTCTTGTTATTCACGAGTTTGTTTGTTTGTTTGTTTGTTTATTTATTCATTCATATCACAAGGCATATTTGCAATCATAGTTATAATAGATTCAAGCCAAGAAGTGAATTTGTACCCATAGCTGGGATGTCTTGATGTGCCGTCAGCAGAGTCCAGGTGGTAGGCTGGGCTGGGCTTGCCTCTGCCTTTTGCTTGGAGTGAGGCTCTGAAGCTGATTGTGCTGTGGGGCCCCTGGCAGTGTCTCACAGGGACGCTGTCACTGGAGGAGCAGCACATTAGCCACAGTGCTAACCTGGGCTGGGGGACACTGAGCCCTCCCCCATGCTTCTAGCTGGGCCCCTGCTGTGGTCAGAACCTGAGAGATTGGCTTACAGTGCCATCCACCCTCCCCAGATGTCACACGTCATTAGCAAACATCCAAACATCTAGTCCTGATGAAGAGCAGGGGCATCATGGGAAGGGCAAGAAACAGGTAGGTGGCATAGTGGCTTTCCCTGTTCTCGCTTCTGTGACTTTGAAAGTCACACAGTGTCTACAGAGAATGATCTAGAAGGTTCTCATATGGTCATTTGAGATTCATAGAATTACTGCTGCTATAGGCTGGGGCTTCTTAAACGTTTCGCTGCTTGCAACCATTTTTACCCCAAGTTTTTTTTTTTAACAACCTTGTGTATATTGGGTGTGTGTGTGTGTGTGTGTGTGTGTGTGTGTGTGTGTGTGTGTTTATGTGTGTGTATACAAATCAAACATTTGCTGGTAATGAACATAAAGAATTAAAAAATATATTTGTGCCTAAACACACACACACACACACACACACACACACACACACACACACACACAAAATTAAAAATAAAAGTAAACCTTAAAAATTTAAAGAACACATCTTTGGTAGACATACATTTTCAACATTTATTAAAGACAAGTGCAAATTTGCATACTAATCCATAAATGAGAAAGAATTAAATCTTGGGGCTGGGGAAAGTTTGTGAGCACCTGCCAAGCATGAGGATCTGAGTTTGGGTTCCTAGTGCCCACATAAAAAGCTGGGCATGGCAGTTCTTATTAGTAATCCCAGTATGTGGGGGACAGCAGAGAAAGGAGGATCCCTGGGGCTCACTAGCCAGCCAAGCTAGCCAAATCCAGGAGCTCCAGCCAGCTTCGGTGGGAGACCTGTCTCAAAGCTCACAGTGAAGAGGGATCGAAGAAGACACCCAACATTGCTGTCTGTCCTAGACCTGCAGGTACACCATAGGAACATGTACACACACACACACACACACACACACACACACACACACACACACACTGAAATCTTGGCTGAATACTGAATATTTTTATTTTATCACCATCAGTTCCTAGATTGCCACTTTACATAAATATGTAATACAAAACAGCAGAAGTATGTTTAAGGCCCTTTCAGAAACTATTGGAAATTCTACAATAATTTATTTAACAAGTTGTTTTGTTGTTCTTGTTGTTGAAATTTTTTCCAAATTTCAAACCCTCAACTGAAATAGAAGTTTTTAAAATCAAATATTTGAACCTAATCCAGCCCAAAGATGTACTATCGTGAGAGCTGCCTGCAGCGGGGCTGAGAGAGGAACTCTGGCAAGTCGCTGTTTTCTGTAATTACGCGTTGTTTTCTGTAATAAGAGCAGAGATCTTAGTGTGAGCAGTAAAAACGCTGCTGTTCCCAGCCTGCGGCAGTCCAGGCCCAGGGAGTTCAGGGAGGGTCCGAGGCTCTGCATGGCCTGAGAGCATGCACAGTGCTAAGTGGGCGTGTTGTGAATTCAGTCTAAGGCTGCAGGGACCTTGTGCAATACAGCATGCGTCAGGGCTGCCAGCAGCATCTCGGGCTCATTAAAGGTTGGATTTTTGAACTAACTTTTGTTTGTTGTATGTTCAGAAACCTTTTACTCTTACCAGGGCTTTTATAACCTCATGGCCTGGTAAGCGACCCCATAGGAAGTCATACCCCACAGTTTGAAACCCACGATAGGGTCTTCCTTTAAATTATTTAAAAGTCATGGCTGCTGGCTAGTTATTGTTTTTTTGTTTGTTTGTTGTTTGTTTCTTATTTTTTTCAGGAAACACTTGTTTCCTTTTTCTTGCAGTACATTCATATGACACCAAATGTACGTGTTATAAAAAGATACAAAATGGCAGTCCTCCCCCCCAACCACCCCCCACACACACAGTCTTCCTGGGTGGTAACCACTACTGACCAGTTTTCCGAGTAACCTTAGATATTGGTCACAGGTGAGAGTCACTCGACCTGCTTTCCCGGGGTAAGTTTGCCCACCACATACTGTCCGGCATCTCGTTTCAGTCGGTTCTTCTCTTTAAGAGATGGGCCGCCTACTTGATCCACGAAAGGTTACAAGCCCAGCATAGACCGTGGGCGTGGGTTGCCGTTGCTTCTGTGGCCTCACAGCGCTCCAGTGGGCGGAGCTGAGTGCGCAGGACACAGTAGGCGCGTGTGAGAGACTAGATGTGTGGCCAGGTCCTCCACGTGGAACCTCTGGGCAAAGGCTGCCTCTTACTTGGTACCCAGACAATGCTCTGCTTATAGCGGAATTCATTCACTCCCAGGCAGCAGCTTGGAGGCAGCCCGTGCTCCTTCCCTTTGCTGAGGTGGGTGTTTGCACTTCATAATTGCTGCTGGCCTGTCAGGGGAAATGGTTTCTCGGTGTCGTTTTATCGGGGGTGAAGTCAAGAGCCACTCTTCCAATTATCTGCCCGTTTGCTGTTGGACTCTGGTCTGCATAGAAGATAAACTCTCTGCCTGGGGGTAGCATTTTAAAAACTGCAGTCTGTGTTTGTCTGGTTGGATTTCAGAATGGATTGGATTACCAGGTATCATCAATAGAGAAGATTGCATTTGAAACAGCTTGTTTCTACTCTCGAGATAGTTTACACACTTTCATGTGACAGGATTCCCCGATTCTGAAAATGCATGGATACGGTTCCCTGTCTCTGCAGACATTCGCTATGTGGAATACTATGTACTGAGCAAAATGAATGAGAAGAAGCTCCTTAGTCAGGGTCTGCAGGAATATCACTGAATGGAGAAAGGCCACTTGTAGAAATATGGTATGCTTAAAGAAATAAGAGAAGTTACCAGTGGTCTCTCCCCTCCCTCCCTCTCCCCCTCCGTGTGTGTGTGTGTGTGTGTGTGTGTGTGTGTGTGTGTGTGTGTGTGTGTGTGTGTGTGTGTGTGTGTGTGTGTGTGTGTTTTAATCCATAGACAAAGGTGCCAGACAGATGGGTGCCAACATCAATCGCTGTCTAGGAAAAAAAGCTAGAAGAAACAACTCTTTTTTTTTTTTTTTTAAGATTTATTTATTTATTATGTATACAGGAGAGGGCGCCAGATCTCATTACAGATGGTTGTGAGCCACCATGTGGGTGCTGGGAATTGAACTCAGGACCTCTGGAAGAGTAATTGGTGCTCTTAACCTCTGAGCCATCTCTCCAGCCCCGAAGAAACAACTCTTATTTGCAAAATTAGATAATACATTGAGCCAGGCAGTGGTGGTGCACGCCTTTAATCCCAGCACTTGGGAGACAGAGGCAGGAGGATCTCTGTGAGTTTGAGACCAGCTTGGTCTACAGAGCAAGCTCCAGGACAGCTAAAGCTACACAGAGAAACTCCGTCTTGAAAAAAAACAAAATAATAATAATAATAAGTTGAAGCTTCAGCAGGATAGCAGATAGATCGATTTCATCGTGAGCTGGGTTGAGAAGAGCCACTGAGGTCAGGGTTAGTGGTAGCGGAGGAACTGGCATGGCAGCGGTGGCCTGAGGAGTCCACCAGCTGTCTGACCCCAGCCTTGTTGTCTTCTAGATCCTGACAGGCGAAGACTGGAATGCGGTGATGTACGATGGCATCATGGCCTATGGAGGCCCATCCTCCTCCGGGATGATTGTCTGCATCTATTTCATCATCCTTTTCATCTGTGGCAACTGTATCCTTTGGAACAGCCAGAACTGTGCAGTCCCCGTCACTGCTTGTTCCCTGTGAATTTTCCAGTGGTTGTGGTGATGGTAGCAGCTGTAGGCCTGAGGGAGACAAATGCCTTCTTCCCCTTGTTGGCTCCACGCTGCCTTTCTGTCCACATGGCAGGTGGGAGTCATAGAGTCATGCCGGTAACAGTGCCCATGCAGGTGCCAGCAGATAAAGGGGTTAGTGCCGTGCCTCCATACAGGGCGAGCAGGGAAGCCTGGTGTGTGTTCATGTTGTCGTCGCTGGGAGGTTAGGGCTACGTCCGCGTCACCCCACAAGCGGTGAGGAGCCACTGATGGGCTCGCCTGTCTTCTCTATCACGGTGTGCAACCTTTCTCTGACTTGCTCGGTTCCTCTTCCCTGCAGTGGGCTGTTGGGTCCCTTTGTTTACCTCCACCGGCCCCTTCGGGATCTTGTAAAGTTTGCTGTTGTGTCTGTTTATTCTCTGGCTCCTCCATGCCTAGCATAAGACCTACAATATGAAGAACCTTCGTAACGATGGCAAATAAGTATGCGTACAGACGTGAACACCTCATGTTCTCCTCCCTGCTGATTTAAAACGTCCTGCTATGGAGGAGTCCTTAGTGGTCCAGATCCCTGTAGCTCATCCCTCTCAGTCTCCTTTCTTCAGTGTGGAACCCTCGTGCTGACTGCCCTGCCGTCCTTAGGGCCAGTGCTTTATGCTATGAGATTTCTGGGGAAACCCTGTCTCAGCACATCCACCACATTGCTGAGTCCCTGGGCTCAGTTCTAGGGCCCTGTCCTCCAGGGAGCTCCTCTACTCACAGATGAGTTCACTGAGCTCTGAATCCCCCCTCAGATTTTGTCCATGTCTGTTGATCGTGTGCAGAGTCCACTGTCCACAGGAACTTCTGTGGGCATGGTCCCTCCTCCCCAGCCAGATGACAGCTTTGTGGGCCAGGAGCCTCCTTCTTGGTGTTGACCTGCTTCCTGGTAAAATGGTGCATACTGGCCCTTGAGGACATGGTTAAGTGAATGGTTTTCCTCCTGACTGGCTATAGCCACACTGTGTGCCAGGCTTGAGTCTGCCGACTGGTTCCTGCCTCTCCTCTCTGTTCCCTGTTGAGGTTCTCTGTAGCACATGCCACCACATGAGGTCCTTCAAGAGTTGCTTAGGTTGCCTGTCTCCATCTGGGACAGATTCTCCATTACATCGTGTTTCCTCCCGTATCCCCAGTACCCAGAGGGCCTGGCCTGCCCAAGGTGCTTTGTAGATCTTTCTGAATGAATTCCCAGAACACCCCTGTTTAGGAAGCCTGGGCCATGCCTCTGAATGCAGGTGACATTGGTCCAGATTTACACTCCACTTCCCACAAATTTAGTGTCATTGCAAGGCCAAGAATGGGATTCTTTCTTCATGGGGTCCATTGAGAGACATGCTTGAGACCGCTGTCCCTGCGCTGACCCCTGTCTAAGCCACCATTGTAAAGCCTGTGTGAGGAGTTTCCAGCTCCCTGTGCTATCTCCAGCCCAGGAGAGATGCTTTGTCCAAGTTTCAATGGAACTCACCCAGGTTTCCATCCTCCTGGAGTCTTGAATAGAATTAGACATGGCACACACACACACACACACACACACACACACACACACACACACACACTCTTACCATTAGGCCCTTGTTAGCTTTCACTGATATATGCGTTCAGCAGCCCACCTGGAAGTTTCTAATACGCAGTGCACATGGGGCCATGGTCTACTGCTCCTGTCTCTCCTATGCCCCTGCTGAAGGCTGAGCATCAGGCTTAGGGAAATGGGCACCCAGCACAAGACCCTCAGCCGCCCCCCTCCCCCCCGGGCTTCTTACAGGGTTCATAAATGCTAGTCAATAAAGAAGTAATCACATCTGACTTAAGGCTCTCATTAAGAAAACATTTTTTTCTAAAAATCCTAGAAAACATTGCAAGCAGTTTTATAATTTAAAAAGCTTATTTGCTTGATACATTACCATTTGCAAAAGTATGTTCAGCCACAAGTCTAGCCACAGCGGGGCCCTCCAGAACACAGCCTAACCTCTCTTGGCAGGAGCTCTAGATTGCCATCCCTGGCAGGTATCTGCAGAGTGAAGAATAAAGGAACTAGCCACAGACTCTGGAGCCCATGCTAGAGGAGAAAGCCTCCTGCTATTTTGTGTGATGAGATCATCGTTCAGTCACCTGTGGCCTTTGAAGGTGTCTGGCTTGCAAAGGAATCCCTTGAATATGTATGTTATAATGTGTGCTTTCAAAGAAAATGAAACACAATGTGCTACATGAATGTGCAGCGGTAGATAAGAAGGAGACAGTGAAATGTGTGTTTCCATGTATCTCTGTAGATAGTCGGGGGCCCTACATAGGATTCTATGCTTTTTGCTTGTTTTTTAAAGTGGGATTTTACCAAGTTCTCCAGTTGCACCAAGGGACTGTCACACTAGGGTCAGCCATCCTGAGCAGAGGAGTGTAACGTGGCCATTATCAACTCTATGTAGTTGCATTTAAAAACACATTGTACCCTTAAGATTTTCAAATTAGATATCCTACTGAATGTCTTCTTGGCCATCGCTGTAGACAATTTGGCTGATGCTGAAAGTTTGAACACTGCTCAGAAAGAGGAAGCTGAAGAAAAAGAAAGGAAAAAAATTGCCAGGTAATCCTGTTTTCACTGAGGCATTTTCTCAGAGGTGCTAGGGACTCAGCCATGCTTCCCGAGGGGTGTTGGGACTCAGCCATGCTTCCCGAGGGGTGCTAGGGACTCAGCCATGCTTCCCGAGGGGTGCTAGGACTTAGCCATGCTTCCCGAGGGGTGCTAGGGACTCAGCCATGCTTCCCGAGGGGTGCTAGGGACTCAGCCATGCTTCCCGAGGGGTGCTAGGACTCAGCCATGCTTCCCGAGGGGTGCTAGGGACTCAGCCATGCTTCCCGAGGGGTGCTAGGGACTCAGCCATGCTTCCCAAGGGGTGCTAGGGACTCAGCCATGCTTCCCGAGGGGTGCTGGGACTCAGCCATGCTTCCCGAGGGGTGCTAGGGACTCAGCCATGCTTCCCAAGGGGTGCTAGGGACTCAGCCATGCTTCCTGAGGGGTGCTAGGACTCAGCCATGCTTCC